GCGTCAATAACAAGATCAGGTGGGGCCTGGTTCAAAACTCTCACTGGTTTTGCTACAAACCTGAAACTTCTCTAGAAAATATAAACTCCCATAAAAATAAAAAATCCAGCACAGGTCAGGTGTGGTGGCACACACCTGTAATCCCAGCTCAAAAGCAAGGCGCTAAGCAACTCAGTGAGACACTGTCTTTAAATTAAATACAAAATAGGGCTGGGGGTGTGGCTTAGTAGTGCTCCTGAGCTCAATTTCTGGTAACCTCCCCACCCCACCCCCCCAAAAAAATTAAAAATCTAGCATGGGCTAAACACATCCTCGGCACTCCTGAAAGCCTTATCCCTTAAAAGGGCATCCCCATCCTGAAGCATTGAGCTGACAAATGCTTTCTTGGGTGCTTGATTCTAGACATCCAACCAACACAGTCCTCAGATGGGAACAGAGCCTAGGAGTTGCTAAGGCAACAGTGCAGAAGGTGCTCTGTGCACAGCCCAGCACACTCCAAGTGTCAGCACCAGTGCTAACCTCTCAGTCCTAACAAAAGGGCCTGTCCTGGAGGGGTGTGCTCACCCGGCTTCTGAGAAAGAAACCCCATCCTCCAAGAGCAGACACCTGTGCACCACAGCTGCCTTGGTGCTGGGCAGACTGAATCCAGTCTAAGACTACTGTTTCCATTTAAAGTTGTCAACTAGTTGCCTTCCCAGGGTGTGTAACCAAGAAGGAGGGAGGGCGGGCACAGCGGAGAAGCACCCGGACAGCACAGAAGCTGCAACTCTGTAACCCCTTTCTAAGCGCCAGGCTCCAGAGACGACAGGAACTTTGCAGAGTGTGCCCAGGGGAAAGGGAAAGAAGGGAGAGAGAGGAACCCTGGGACTAAACCAGCAGGTCAGCATGGCAGCCACCTAATCCTTCCAAGCAGGCTGGCTGTGCTGTCCATAGTTCTCTGGCTTGAGTAGTTAAGAGGCAACCGGTCCAGCTAGTGATCTTCCTCACTGCCCAGTCCTAAAGCCAGCGCACACCACGAAGTCCTAAAAGTCCCAACTGAGGTATCTTAGGCAGAGAAAGCTGAGTGCTCTCTGGGGTCCCACTAGCTGTGCTGGCCTGGGCAGGCAGCATTTGCCCCCACATCTCCACTCCTATTGACATGTTTGGAAAAGGAGCCATAAAAGTCCATGAGATCATGGCTGATTGTTAGGCTATTCTCAGCCTAGGGGTGGGCAACACAGATCAAACTAGACCCAGGCTCTATCTGAAAGGAAAGACCCCCAGAGGTATGCGCTCTCAGCACCAACTCAACCGCCCACCGGGTGCTGATGGGTAGGTGGTTCTGTTCTGGTGGGGACCACCCTGCTCCTTGCTCAGTCCTGAATACCAGTGCCAAGACCAGGTCTAAGCAGCAGCTCTGCTTCTCCTCCACCAGGCCCAAGGTCACCTTCTCAGCCCCCACCATGAGCCCCCAATGATTCCCTGGCACTCTATGATGATGCCTTACCAATCCTTCTGCTTCAATCACAAACCCACCCTGGCAAAATCCCAAGACACTATGAGGGAGCTGAAGCTATCCTGGAGACTTCAGACTTGCCTGGCGCACATCCCCCGTCACTCTGAAGACAGTCCACTGCCTTCTAAAATGGCCTGAGAAGAAAACCTGGAAAAGGTGGGGCCAGGGCCCAGCCACAGCACCCAGCACCATCACCTTCCAACTCTCAGGGCCTTCCCTCTCCTCAGAGTGTCTTACTGCTCTGCTCCTGCCCCCTCTGAGGGCCCAGAGTCATGTCTGTCCAAGGGCACCCCCAGGCCAGGCACTCAGAAATCTACTGCCTCAGAGCAGAAGAAAGTACAGATGCCAAAGCAGAGTTCTGGATTCAGCAGGGAAGGTGGCAGCCTCAAGCCCCACATGCCATGCTTTCTGGGTGCTCAATGCCGCCGGTCAGTCAGTCTTAGCAGAAGACCCTATAATTATACGCTGACCTTATAATTTCATTATCAGAACAGCCCTGTTCCCAAGGCCTCCTGGTGAAAGAAAGCTAAGCAGCTCACAACTCAGGGGTATATGATTCCTCATCAGGATGGTGGATATGATGGACTGCTCAGACCACTCAACTAGCTCTGGCAATAGAGACCCCAGTTCTCCATATCAGCCCTGGGGTGGCCAGGTCTGGGGGGCTCTGCCTCTGTGCCAACTTGTCTTGTTAGTCATGAGGAGCAACCCATGTACACGGCGAGAGACACCCCTGCCACCACCCAAAAGGGAGGGCTTGGTGCTTACACCTGGCAGGAACTGGCCAAGTGGAGGGAGTTAAGTCCAGTACAAGTGAAGGCTGTGGGGGCACTGTGCGCTGTTATCCCAGCAAGAGGCTGCTCCACAGGCCAAGTGCCAGCATAGCACCCACAAGGTCTCTCGCCACTGTCACAAGTATCTCACACCCGAGCGCAGCAACTGGCCCCGGACAGAGGTGCTCCCTGCCTCTGCGGTCCCTCCACAGGGCAGCGCAGAGTCCCACTGTGTCATTCTGTGACCCATAGAAGCTGACCCTGCAGCTCTTAAAAATAGGCTGAAGATGGGTTTTTCTCCCAGGATCTCAAACATGTAACTACCGGACGCGAAATGGCAAAACGGAATGAAAATCGTTGGCTGAATTCCGCCCAGGTCAGCAAGCGCCCTCGCTGACCACACCTGGCCCAGGAACCCTGGCCGCGGGCGGCGTTCGGGCTTCCAGGCGGGTCCCGGTTTCCTCCAAGGAGCGGGGACCCAGTTCCTGGCCCAGGTGGCGGACGCGCTTCCTGTGCCTCGCACGCCCAGCGCTCAAGGACGCGGCCCGCGGCCTCCTGGCCTCGCTGCCAGCACCGCTGCCCGGCGGGCCCCGCACCAGCGGCCCGGCACCTGCTGAGCAGCGCGCCCGCAGGGCCCCCTCCGGCCCCCTCCGCCGCGGGCCGCGCCGCCAGGCCTGCGGCCGCCGCCCTCCGCCACCACCACAGCCCGGACGCGCGGCCGCCGAGCCTCACCTGGTGCGCGAAGCCGCGGAGGTGAGCCATGTCCGCGCGGCCGTCGGTCCACGGCCCGGAGGCCCGCTCGGCCCGCTCGCTCAGGCCCCTGGGGACGCAGGCCGCTCGTCAGCGGGGTCGGCCGGGAGGCCCCGCCGGCCGCCTCCCTCCGCCCGCTTCCGCCCGGCCCGCGCCCCGGCCTCCCCGCCCGGCCGGCGCGGCCCGCCCACCTCCGGGGGGCTCCATCCCAGCCTCCCGGCCCGCTCCGCAGCGCCCGCGGGCTCCCAGCGCCGCCTCGCTCTCCCGGAACGCCCGGGGCCCCCAGCCCGCGAGCAGACAGCGGCAGCGGAGGCGTCGTGGCGGTCGCGCGGCTCTCTGGGACTCCGAGTCCCGGCGTCCGGGCCCGGCAGCCGCCGGACTACAAGTCCCAGCAGGCTGCGCGGCGGGCGGGAGGGGGCGAGGCGCAGGCGCGCCGCGGGGACGCCGGACCACGGGGTCGGGCACCTGGGAGGAGCGGGAGGACACTCCCCGCGGGCCGCGCGTCGCGTACCCAGTCGGTGTGTTCCCCCGGGCGCCCGCCGGGCCCCCGGGACGGACGCTCGGGCTGGGATCCCGCCGCGTCCTCACGGTCCGCCTGCCTCCCTCCAGCCCCAGCGCGGCCGGCGCCGGGATCGCGCGCAGGGGCCTTAGAGAAGCCGCCCCGCACGGCCTGTTCCTTGGGCGAGTGCCTTGCCCCTCTTGTCTCAGTGCCCCCACCTGGGACCCCAAGACGGGCTGCTGCTGTAAGGCTCAGGGCCGACCCACGGCGAGTCCCGTGGGTCCCAGGCCCGAGTGCGGCGGCCTCCCCGCGGCCCCCGTTTCCTCCCCGCGCTCCGCCCGGGTCTCTCTGATGGTGCATGCTGGACGGCACCGTGCATCCCAGCTCTGCACCTTCCCCCCCCTGCAGCACAAGGCACGGACTTGGACCGTTTGTCGGTAGACTGAGTGCTTGTCGGTGAGGTGCCTTCAGTGACTGTAACCAGGTGCCTGCCACAGCTTTGATGGTGTGACCCGTGGGCCCTGCCCTCCCCAGGAGCCCCAGGACTCCGCAGACTTCATCTGCTGGCGGCAAGTGGCCACACACCCTCCACCCTTGGGGCCTCCCCTGTTGCTCATATTCGCTGATACTGTACTTCTATTCTTCAATTTCATCTCTCTCAGCTTTCATATAGAATTTTTCTCTTAGCAATCTTGTGCGTATGGTGCTGGGGATGGAACTCAGGGACTTGCAATGCTAGGCAAGTGCACTCTTGCTGAGCTACACTCCCAGACCAAACAATCCCGTTTTTTAAAAAATATTTATTTTTTAGGTGTAGATGGACACAACACAATGCCTTTATTTTTATGTGGTGCTGAGGATCGAACCCAAGTCCCACCCGTGCTAGCGAGCACTCTACCGCTGAGCCACAATCCCAGCCCCATAACTTTATTTTATTTATTTATTTTTATGTGGTGCTGAGGATCGAACCCAGCACCTTGCACTTGTTAGGCCAGTGCTCTACTGCTGAGCCACAACCTGAGCCCCTGTACAATCCCATTTTTTTTTAAATTTTTTTTTAAGAGAGAGAGAGAGAGAGAATTTTAAAATATTTATTGTTTAGTTTTCGGCAGACACAACATCTTTATTTGTATGTGGTGCTGAGGATTGAACCCAGCGCCGCGCACATGCCAGGCGAGCGCACTACCTCTTGAGCCACATCCCCAGCCCAACAATCCCATTTGTAACTTCCAAGAAGTCTTAGTTTTTCCTTGGTGTCCTTGCTTTCCTTTTTGGGAATATAGAAATGGTTCTTGCCTTGTGGCTCATGAGAATGACAAGTGACCAGCCTGGCAGGTGCTGGAAAGACCATTCTTTTTATTGTTGGCACAGGCTGACCTTAGAAGGGAGAGAGAACACTCATGGTCAAGCTCCAGCCCTGGGCCAGCCTGGGGCGGGGACCTGCTCCTAGTCAGGACAGGTAATGAGCTGCAGTCAACTGACACGGAAACTGAGATTCAAGGAGATAAAGTGACACGCTCAAGACCACAGTGAGAACATGGTACTCTGCTACAGAGGATCCAGGTGACCATGTGTGCAAAGGTAAGACTCGGCCCTGGAGAGAAATGGGTCAGGGTGAGCCACCTGAGAACACCGTACTTGGGCCACCCTCTTGTTTGACAGACAAGGAAATGAAGCCCAGGGAGGGGAGAAGTCCCAGGGATAACACAGCACAATCTGGCTTAGAATCAAGTCCCTCTGCACTAGAGTGATAGTTTGGGCACTTGCTGTTCCCTGTTCCTTACTGGGGGCCTGCTCACTTGTCAGAGGGGAGCAAGAAAGGGTATTATGAAGGGAGACAGGGCCAGAGATGTCCAGAGGCAAAGGTGAGTGACATAAAGCCAGAGGAACCTTGGCCTGTAGTCTCCTCTGCCGGGTACAGGTCCTGGCAAGGTTGAGGGAGGATCCAGGAATGTGTGTGTATGCCTAAGTGTGAGTCAGACCACACAGCACAAGTGAGGCAGGGAGGCATCTAGAGAGAGACTCACTGTCCCTAAAGAGCCCCTGAGGTGTGGCACTTGGGTGGGCCTAACAGTGGACTGCCCACCCAGCCTTCGCACAGCAAGGCCCAGCATTTGACAAGACCCACTCCGGAATGCTAGCTCCTTACCTGCTTCCTATCACCTTGTTCTTGAACATGTAGCTAAGGATCACTGAATACTTCTTTTTTCTAATATTTTTAGTTGTTGATGGATTTAATTTAATTTCTTTATATGTGGTTTTGAGAATTGAACCCAGTGCCTCACACATGCCAGACAAGCGTTCTCCGCCAGCCCCAGGATCACTGAATATTTAGGAAGACTCCCAATGTGGACCCCTGAGACCAACATAAATTGAAAAGAGGACCTAAGCCAGGTATGAGGGTGTGTGCCTTTTCATTCAGCTGCTTGGGAGACTGAGGCAGGAGCCTCTCTTGAGCCTGCAACCACATGAGGAACCTGTCAGCTGGACCCAGCTGTGGACTGGAGAGGATGACAGTAATGTGAGGAGACAAAATCACAGGAATCACTCAAAAAGTAAACAGGGAAACATAGAAGCCTAGAAGTTCAAGACTAAGCCAGGCATGAAGGTGCATGCCTGTAACCCCAGTGGCAGGGGCAGGGGGCTGAGAAAGGAGGATCGCAGGTTGGAGGCCAGCCTCGGCACCTTGGCAAGGGCCTGAGCAATTTACTGACTTCCTGTCTCAAGATGAAGGGCTACAGATTAGCTCAGTGGTGAAGTGCCCCTGGGTTCAGTCTCCAGTATTGAAAAAAAAAAAAAAAGTTGAAGGCTAGTGCTTCCTCACAGTATGGTGGGGCAGGAGTGTAGGGAAATTGTGTTTGCCAGCTGAGGCTGTTTTAACAACATACCAGATGGGGTGGCTTTGACAATGGAAATGTATTTCCCAGAGTTCTGGGTGCTGGCAAGTCCAAGATCCAGGTGCTCCCGGGGAGGGTGTTCCTGCCCCCATGGGTGCCTCCTCCAATGGCTGAGTGCCTACACATGAGCTTACACTGTCATAAGAACACTAATCAGGACTCCACCCTCTGACTTTAGTTCCCTCCTCCCATGCCCCACCTCTAGTTACAGCCACATTGAAGACAGGACTTTACCATGTGGATTTGGGACAGGGCACAATCCTGGTCTGAGCAAAGGCTGCTGAGTGCTAGCATTCTAATGGGGAAAGGTGCATGGTTCTCTAGTGACCTGCCACTGGATTAGGCCTATTGCAAGCCCACCTGGATTCAAGGGGAGAAAGCACCAAAATCACAGTATGGGAAGAAACAAGGGATGGGAGATAATTTTACCTTATTTATGATTCTAGGAATTGAACCTAGGCCTCACACATGCTAGGCAGGTGCTCAACCACTGAGCCACACCACCACCAAGGAGGTCATGTTGAAGTCCTCCTTAGGAAGTACATCCTAGCAGGCTCCATAGTGAATTCTGTCCAGTCACAGCCGTGCAGACACCTCTGATTTCCAGCATGTAGAATCATTCTGTAGACAGAGGATGAGTATTTGGTTTCAGAAAAGAACATAGAGATTTTCAACCTTAACCATTTGAAAGGAAGGAGGAGGAGAGAGAGATGGCATTTGGTAGGAGGAAAAGAGACAGGGGGAACTGCACTAGTTCTAAGTTCAGCCAAGTCCAGAGCCACCATTAGTTTTCAGCCACTGAGAACAAGAACAATGATGTAGGCAGCTGCCTCTGCCACTGGAGTTTCATGGGAGGGAGACACATTTGGACTACTCTGCAGGTAAGAACTTTTGGAACAACAGATCTTCATCTTGGAGCACATCTCTATCTACAGTTGACAAGCCATGCCTCCTCCTGCAGTGGTCATGTGTACAGCCTCTCACTGTCTTTGAAAGTATGACCACTGAGACCTCCCAGAATAGGAAAGATATGGGGGCTCACCCTCCAAGGGCTCTTGTGTGCACTAATGGAAATGATTCCACATCTAAACTCAACCCAGAGCACCTGCATGTCCTCAGAATAAAGAGAGCATTCTATATGTAACCACCAGAGAGAAAACCAGTACTCAGTAGCAGGACCAGAGGGAAAATCAGCATTCAGTAACTCACCAGAAGGAAGACCAGCATTTGGTAACAGGATGACATGAGGGGATGATCAGCATTTGGAACTGGGCCACCAGAGGGAATACCAGCATCAGGTAACAGGACCAGCAGAGGGGAAGACCAGCATCTGGAAACAGGACCACCGGATGGGCAAACCAGCATTGGGTACTAAGACCAGCAGAGGGAAAGTGCAGCATCTGGTAACAGGACTACCAGAGGGTAAGACCAGCATCTGGTAACAGGACCACCACAGAGGAAACCAGCATTCTGTAACAGGAATGGGGAAGGTCATTTGGAGGAGAAAAAAAAAAAGGAAACCAGCATTTGGTAACAGCAGAGGGGAAGGTCATCATTGCAT